GGTAATTTCAGGTTACTTCTTCATTCAGTAGTGAAAAAATAAAGGTGAACATGACAGTGAAAAGGACTGTTCCCAAGTATATTAATTATTATGGAGCAATTTTTGTGTGAAAAACATGAGTGTTCATAGTTTTTGTGCGGATGTGGGATTTCCGGAATGCCAGGACAAACAACAGCATGCGTGGTTTTTTTGATGCACCTACTACAGAATCGCTTCTTTTATAAAGTAATTCCCGATATCCAAAATATGTCTTTATTTTTACGTTTTGCCAAATGCATTTGTTTTTATCTCAGCGTGTGTTTTGTACACCTGTAGTTATTGGGAAGTGCACCGTGTGGCTGTAAGGACCGACTCCTAAATAATCTCCCAAAGAAAAACGACGCGGCAGTTCCAAAGGCCGGTTTCTCGGGAGCGCAGAACGAACCCCGGATTTGATTTTGCAGCCCCTCCTTCCCGAAGCGGTGGGGGCGAGCGGCCCGGCAGCAGGAGGGCCGGCCGGGCGGGTGGCCCCGAGGCTGCAGCCCCGGCGGGGTGACCGCCCAGGGGGGCTTGCGGTGGCGGCTGTCACCCGCCTGGCCCGGGGACCGCCTCTTGGCTTTGACCCGACCCTTCCTATTATCTCCCTTCCCTTTTACATTCCCTCTTGCTATAGATATTCCCATTCATAAAATCGTTCCCTGCTTTGCTTCCCGTGTGAAGGCAAGTCCTGGTGTGTAGCAGAAATAAATAAGATCACGAGCAGAAGCTCTTCGTCAAACCCCTTATTTCCCGGAGTTCCTTCCCTGATCCCTGTTGCATGCATTGCATTATACTGCAAAATCTCCTTTTATTTATTTTACCCTTTCGTCTGTCATTTATTAAACATCAGAATATTTTCAGCGTGCTCAAATCCCACGCGTGGAGGCAATCTCGCCCGGCAGGGCTTCGCGCTGCGAGAACTCGCAGTTCTGGGCCGAATCCCGAGTGTGGTTTTTTTTTTTATGATGAATATCAAAAACCTGTTCAAACTCGGCGTGTCTTTTTCTGTCTCGTCTCAAGAGTCGCCCTCGCGACCGGCACAGCTGCGGGGGATGCGGGGAGCCGCCTGCAGCCGCTGTAAAGCATCCCGGCCCCTCGGCCGCGGCGGGGATGCCAGCGGGGCCCGGCACGCTGGGAGCTGCCGGCGAAACCCGTGCAGGAAAATGGCTCCTTTGGCAACTCGCTTTGCCAGCGCGCTGTCATGCACGCTTCTCGCTGCGCCGTGGCAGGAGTGAGGAGAAAATATTGTGACTAATTTAAAATGGTGGAATGCAACTAGTAATTGCTTTCCCCTGTTTGCTCCATCCTATTTCAACAGGGCTTGCACAGATTGTTTTTGTTTGTTTGTTTAATTAAAAAAAAAGCCCGTATGCAGTTAATTTTATTTTATTTATTTTTTTTTATTCTCGGTTCACATTTCAAATATTTTGGAATATTATTTGCTAATATTTTCTTTTTTTCTCTCTCCTCCTTTAACTCACGTTTCCCTTTTACCCCACTTGCTGGATGGGTTGCCTTTTCTTTCCGAGCTGAAGCCATTGCCTCCCTGTGCATCAGGAGGATAGGATTATATGTACTTCTTTCAGACCTGAGGCATTACTATTTCTTCTCCATACTCAGCATCCAATTGTCTGGCTCTATCTGGGTCCTAAATCCATCCTGAATTGGTTTCATAGCTGGCAGATTTGTGTGTTCCATCTTGTTTTGGGACCTGGCTTTCATATGAATATCTCAAATCATTTTATATTTTTCCAAGTAGAAGTTTTATTACATGCAGACAATCTGTATATGACTAGCGAAAATGAGAAGATAAAGGGTTGATTGAAAACATGTCAAATGCTAGTTTTTGCCAGGGTGCAACAAAACTGGGTTTTATTGTGAAGGGAGCAGTGACAAACCCTCTTGTTTTAAATGGATGGTCTCGCATTGCCCTCTGGTAGAGAAATGGTTAAATTATGCACTCGTTGGAGTATGAAGGCAGTTCTTCTTTGCTGACAGATAGTTTGACCAGTGTCAGGTTATCCCGATGCGTTCAGCATACCTTCATTGCATCATAAATAAAACAGACAAATTACTTTTTTTTTTTTTCCTAGGGTGGAATAAGCAGGAGGAAGGGGAGGGATGGGGATCGGGGTAGATGGGGGTTCGGAGAGGGGGGTGTGAAGAATTAGAAGGAAAAGAAATAAGAGAGAGATCTTTGCAGACGCTCTATGAATCTCTGCTTGGCAGCTGAGAACAATGAGAAAAGCAAGCAATTACCTCGAATCCTTCCCCTTATCCAGACATAGGAAATATATTCCTGCCTGAGCCTTTTTTCTCGTCTCTCTCTCCCTCCCTCCCTTGCCCTCCCTCTCTCCATCTCTCCCCCTCTCCCTCTCTCTTTCCCCCTTGTATATCTAATTTAATTCTTCGAGGAAGGGAAGGCAGATGTAACAAAGAAAGGAGGGTCTGTGTCGACGGGCCACTTCCTACCGCAGGACGAAGCCTTCCTCCATGGCAAACGTCCTTTTCCATTCTCTGCCCTGGCAGACTTCTGCAGCCTCTGCAGCAGCATCCATGAAAAATGAGCAGAAAGGTATTTTATAGCTCCGACTCTTTTACAAATTCCCCCCCAATAAAGTGGTGTGAATACTAAATCACCCTGTCCAGGCGCAGGAAGCCGACGTGTTCTTTACCTTCCGAAATCCATCTCAGAGGGGCAAACAGAGCCCTTTCTCCAGATTTCCCTCAACTACTGTATTCAGTGGCCCCTTTACTGGTGGCTTCCTTATTCTCCCGAAATTCTTATAGGATTTAAATTCTCGTTCTTGAATCTTTTTTACCCCTTTTTTTTTTTTCCCAAAGCAGGACTTCCAAATATTCCCGCAGGTTGCCGTGTCCGCAGGAGGGGTGTGTGCGGGTGGTTCCCCTCTGGCTGTCGCTGCCCTGGCCACCCACCCGTGGGAGAAGGGACGCCGGCGCACCCCGACACCCTGCGCCCGCTTACGTGTCTGTCAGGGTGGTTAATCGCGTGGGACCGGCGTCCCCTCGCTCTGCCGTGGCGCTCCTGCCAGCTGCCAGAACCACGGTTCACGCCGAGATATTTTGCCCTTTTAATTGCTTGATAAACCTTTAGCTAGCGGGTTGATTGTTTGTTTCCGAGGGAATAAATAAAGCAGGCGTGCTTACTGCTGATGGGGTTGTCGCTCTTCTCAGAGCCACCCCGGGTTTGCAGCGTGCCGGGCACGTCGGGGCGCAGCGCCCGGCAATGCCCCCGCACGCTGCCAGCGGGGCTCGGCGCGGCTGGGGGGCTCAGCCCCCGGCCTGCCGCTGCTCTGGGGTCTCGCTTGCTGGGATGCCCCCCTGGGACCTGCCCCCCCCCAGGGCTGGGAGTGCCACATCTGCGCTTTTTTGGGTGCCTCGGGTGACGCTGCCTCATGCGTCCCCGGAGCCGTCGCCGAAAAGCTCGGCCCCGTCACCGCATGTCCCGCACGCGGCCCTGCCCTGTCGCTGGCCGCTCGGCGGCACAGCCCCCTCGGGGGGGCCCGGCGGCAGCGGTGCCCCCGACAGCTGGAATATTTGCAGCACCCCGAGTGAGCAGAGTCTGCACAGGGCCGCGGGTGCGCGGCCGCTGGTCGGCTGCCTCCCCCTTCCCACCCTGGCCTTTGGCATCGGGCTTTCAGGGGAGCATCCATGATTTCGTTTGTCCTGTGCTCTCTTGCACAGACCTCTTCCTTGCGCTGCTTGCAATCGCCCTAACACCTGCATATTGTGATTTAAAAGTTGACAAATTGTCTGTTTCCACTGCCTTTGCTTTTAGAAGAAAACTGAAACCACTATTAGACTTTTAATAATTTAAGATAAAAACATCGTTCCTTAAGAATGTTCTCGGGCTATATTTTTACAGTCGGGGGATAGAAAGGAACATTACAGGAAATTTAAAGGAGGCTTTCGGTATTAAATCTTCACCTCTTCCAGAAGATAACGCAATTCCGTAAATCTGTGCGAGACCTTTGTTTAACCCACCCCCCGCTATCGCAGGCGAGGTTTTATAGGCGCCTGTCTCGCTGCCGCTCACAGGCTGTGTTTTACATAATACCCTTCAGCATCACTGATATTAACCTTGATGGCATTATTATTGCTATTTACAGTTCATATGCTGGTAATGGTAAACCTGAATGGGATTAATAAAATAAATTAAGTGATGGAAATATTAATGCTATTAACAATCAGTAACAGTAGTTGACAGCATAAGAAAAGGAATAACCTGCCATTAACCAAGCAGGGTAGGGTCTCTCTAGCATATGCATAAAGGTACCTGACACTTCATTTTGATAAACCCAAGATTAATTTTCTTTCAAGCAACAACTTTTCCAGGGCCTTCATGCTTCTCTGTTTCAAAACTGAGCTCTCGGCACATTTCCAGCGTCACCTTTCTGATGACCGAGAGCCTGGTCCGCTGCGGGACAGGCTCCGGGCGGGAGCTCGGCGGTGAGGACAGACCCCGTGGGCTCCATCCGATGCTGCCAAACTTTGCCAGGTCTTGGTCCCACAGGAATCCCGGGCTCCCTGAAGCTGCTGCAACACATTCCCTGTGCCCTGCGCTTGCTTTTCCAGCCAAACAATGACACCCTGCTTCTGGGTGGGAATTTACAGCCAGAGGACTGACTGGTGATGCACAGCTGTTTCTTTCTGAACGTGCCATTTGCATTTTTTAAAAGTGAGATGCATCCAGCAGGAGGGTTAATGGGCTCCGGTGCAGAACAGTGGCCGTTGGACGTCAGTTTGGGTTGCTCTGGTGGTGCATGGGTGGGCACTGCCAGCGACCTCTCCTCTCCGCCCCTGCCACCGTGACACCGCCTTTGGGATGGGGGAAGGTGACTTTGTCAGGGACTGCGAGTGGAGTGGGGGCTCCCGGGCTTTTTAGGGGTGGGGTCGCTGAGATTTTGCCCAAGCCCTCGAGAATAGAAATATGAGACTGCCTTCCTTTTGCTTCCCCGCAGGAAGGTGTTCCTAAGGCCAGAGCCCAGGTTTATCAGATGGGACCGTGAGCTGGTTTCTGGACTGACGCACCGAGGGCCCTCGTCCACCGCTGCTCAGGAAAATTCCCCACCTAATCGGGTGGGCAAAGGTTGGTAAGAAAAAAAGCATCGCTAATTTTTCTCCCCCCTACAAATGCGTCTTGCCAATCATTTACAGCTGGCTAAAAGCTAGGGTTTCTTGCACTAAGAAAGAAAGTGAGACCATAAATAAAGCAGTGCAGGACACCTGGAAAGAATAAAGTGCCCTTCTCAGCCTTGCAGGGGAGGAGGAATCGGTGTTTGCCTGGCTGGTACACGGAGACGGTGTGGGAAAAGGAGCCTGGGCTCAGGGCTGGACCAGTGAGGAGATGCTCGCAGTTGTTTTCTTCCATAATAATTTGTCTGCGGGAACACAGCTTTCTGATGTTATTGATAATAGCATTTTGCTGAAGTCCAGAATGAAGAGCGCTTGCCACTGTTCCAACAGCACTGTCTGTAGAACGGAGGCTGAAAGCCGTTTCTCAGTACGAACCCAAATTTCAACCCCTTCAGCCACTTTGGCAGAAAATGGCTCAGCTCCAAGAGCCGCTCGGGGCAGGGGATTCCTGGGAGCCCTGCAGATAAACGGTGTTGTACGGTGGCGTGGTGGGCAAGTTACAGAGTGTTCAACTCTCTTCTTTCACATTTCGGATTATCTCGTGTCCAAATTTCAAATGTGTGGGATTTTGGCTGTGCTGAGAAAACCCCCCTCTTTTAGTAACTGATGTTCTCTTTGCTTTTTGGTGGTGAGAAAAAGGCTAAAGCACCTGAAATACCCCTTAGACGACTCCCCTCAGTAGAAGTTGGCTCCCCTCAATTCTCAAAACCTTATTTTAGAGGTGACTGGAGAGGAACGGTGGGCTTTGATCTAGGCACATGAAATATCACCACAAAAGCCCATTGTTTCATGAACAGACCTTATCTCTGATGCACTCCCTGCCACTCGCCGCTCTCAGAACCCGATACTCTTTCCAGAGTGCATCAGACCTGTCCATTCATTATCGACCCAGGGAGCAGATAAATAAATATACACGCTTTTGCTCAGCCTCTGGAAACACTCCACGGCAGCCCCGACCCGGTGTCTGGAGGGGCCGGCGCCAGCGATGCCCTTCACCACGTGCCGCTTTCCTCCTCCTGCACGTCGGAGCCTCCGGCGTCTGCTGCGTGCCACAGGCAGCTCCAAAGACACCGAGATGGGTTTAATGCTCCCGCACTACGTTGCCTCCACCTCTGCCGCCCCACTGTTGACCACCGCGGTGTTTCCTCTGTGGTTCGTCCTCGTTCGCCCGCTGCCGCCCCATTCCCCCACCGACGGCAGAGCCCGGGTTGGGTGTCGCCGCTCGGTGCCCCGGTGGGATGGCAGGCTCCCCGGCTCGCAGAGGGCAGTGGGGCAGATGGCTCTTGCTTATTCAAAGCGAAGGCACCGCAGGCAGGAAAGCGAATGCAGCAAAACTGGAAACCGATAAACGATCGTATTTTGCAAATACTGTGCCTGTGCACAGCTGGTGTATTTTAACATCGATTTAACACCCAAATGTTAACGTGGGCACACTTCCAGAGAGGTGCAATTCCTCTGGTCCGGGAATTTTAGAGTAGTCTTGAGATATTAAGAAAATTCCCCTTTTTTTTTTTTTAATTGATATTGGCCTTAATCATCCATTAGCCATTACTTAGCTCCCATCAGCATTTGAACCAACATGATGGTTTATTTGAGGAAGAACACTATTTTCTGTTTAGTTCGTTCGTGGTGAACTCAAAATGGCTGCACTGCACTGTAAGATGGAGCCTCACTTCTCTATAGATAAAAATGGAATTAGCAAACGTAAATTGTATCCAAAATAGTGGCTCCTGTTTTATCTCATTGCACTTTGCCTTCCTCCCGGTAGTCCTCTCCTTTCCTCCTAAGCTGTCCTAGCCCCTTTTGAGAGCGTAGCAAGTAGTCATTGCAGTGGAGATTTTTTTATCCACTGGTTTAACTTGCATATTTCTGCTTCTCTTGCAGCGAGGCTGTAAGGCTGCTAGTTAAAGTTACAGCACGCCGTTGGTTTTGCTACACGCTTTTACCTGGAAGGCTTATAAAATTGCCTCAGAGAATTCACACCAAGGTAAGGCCTGGCATAAGAGGTGTAAACTTGGGAACAATTTTTTTTAATGTTACAAAAAAATTTCAAAATACAATTTACTTTACTATTTTTAACTTTACATCATTCTGGCTGTGCACGTTTCTAAGCACCTTCAATTCCCATTTATTTTAGTGCTCGCCATCTCCTAAGAGCAATTCAACATCTGAAAGGTTTGGATCCAAAAGGGTTTTGTAAGAATAATGCCAGACACGTGGGGGAGGGGGTCAAACGATCAAAGAGAGGGAGTTTAATATTGTTGCCTGAGCCTGGTTTGAGGCGCATGTTTTCTAAGCACAGCTTTTTCTTTTTTTTCTTTTTTTTTTTTTTTCTTTCTTTTACACTGACTCAAAGTCAGCCCTTTGGCAAGTCACTTAACCCCTAAATCTATTTTTCCATCTGAAACCAATAACACCGTGGTGATAAGGATTCTGTAAGTACTAATTATTATTCTACTTAGTCATAATTTTACTCCAAGTTGGGCTGGAGTTAGATGTAATTGTTTTTATTAGAAAATAATACTGGAAACAACCATTTATAAACCTCGGTAAATCTGTAGAAACATTTACTCTCAAAGTTTCATGAAGCTTTTTATGATTTCCATACATATCGTGGTTAACATTTCCAATTAAGCTATCATACATGCTGCATATATTATGTAATTATACTAGACACAGAAGGAGCAACTTAGAAATTACAAGACAAGGACGCATACACAACAAAAATTTAATTAAAAATGTGAAAGCCGTAAGAGGCAGAGAGAACAACAAATTTCAGGAAATTAATAGTCTAGATTAAAAATTATTCAGTACCTTAACTCTAATGGGATACCATTTTAATATTCAGCATTCCATGTCAATATTGGATGTTTAAATCCTGAATTGTGAATTTCTCTGCTTTTGTGACATTGACTCACAATCTTAACGTCCTTTTAATGTACTTTTTGTTGTGTAAATCTGTGTAAGTACCATCAGTCATCAAACCTGACATCTGACGGCGTGATGTAGACCCAGCCTGCATGTATTAGGGCTTTTTGTGTTTGTGCAGTGGAACCTACTTACACAAATTCCATTGAAGGCATAAACCTGTTAAAGGAATACATTTTCTTCACACTGAAACAATAGACCTGCATCAAAGGAACATCCAGGGAAAGAATCAGTCCTTTCAAAAGATAAATTTCTTTTTCTGCAAAAAGGCAAAAATGTACTAAGGGTCTGACCTGCTGAAGAAATGAATCTGTTGACTTATCAGGGCAGTGTGCAAACCAAATTAGGGTATAGACAATCGTTTAAAAATTATCAAACGAGAATCCAGCCAACACCTTGCGCTTTTAATGTACTGCTATGGTTTGAGGTGATTTAAAAAAAAAAAAAAAATTAAGGAAAATGTGAATGAGAACATTCCCAGCATCCTTAATGTGAATCTGTTATTCCTACCCCCTGAACTTCAGTGCATGGCTAAAGCTTAACTTACACACTCAATTATAACACGCAAGCAGCCACAAATTATTTTTTTTAAATGCATTCAAATTAACAAAATGTTTTGCCTATGCCCACAAATAAGCAGCAGTAGGACAAGGCCAGAGAAGGGGTGTGAGGAGAGCGGAGCCAGCTCAGCCAGCTGTGGGCAGATGTTTCCACCTTCGCCCAGGGTTTGGCAGCCCGGGACGGAGCTTTGCTGAGCGGCTGGCGCTTCTCTCCCGGCCGGGATTTCACGGCAGATGTGGCACGGGCTGGGGGTCTGCGGGTGAGCCTTTCGGGTCGGGGGGTGACGCCGGTGCCACCGTCAGGGTAGGTGATGGCAACTGGGAGGACGGGGCTGGGAGTCTGTTCCCTGAAACCCCTGTCCCACAGCATCTGCCCCCAGCCTTTTGCTCCTCCCAGCCGTGGGGAGAAGGGTGGGGGAAAGGGACTCGGGAGCAGGATTTTCTTCTGGCACGACAGGTAGCTCTTTGCAATTTTTCATTTTGAAGATGAGAAAGGTGGTGTCCACACCGACCATGGGGAGGTCTCTGGAGAGTGCCGGGGAGAAGCTTCCTGAAGCTCTTTTCTCAGTGTATCCTCCAAAGTCTTCTTCCCAAGCGCGTATACGGGGTGAATGGCACAACGCACATGGAGAAAGGGAGGGCCAATACACACAGCGTGGGGACTCTCTCCAGTCCTGCTGGAAGACCAGAGGCGTCCCGGCGGGTCGCTGGACGGTGCTTCCTGGCACGGTGCTCGCATGGCTGGCCCGGCTAGCCTCTGCGCGGGGAGAGGCGACGGCGGGCGTGCCGAGCCCATCCCCGTGGGCACCGGGGAATCCATCACATCGCTCGACGTCTCCACGGCGTCCGGCTCTCCAGCGGCCTCACCGGAGCCACCCCAGAAGCCCTGCGTTTCCCTGCACAAGAGAAAAACCTCTTTAGCAACGCGGGCAGGAGCGCAGCTGCGAGGGGCCGCGCCAAGCGCGGGCTCTGCCCCCCGAGAGGCACAGAGCCGCGCTGGTGCCCTGCGCCAGCCCCGGGGTGGTTCGGCGACCGGGCACGCCAGGAGCTGCGCCGCCGTCCCGCCAGCCGAGCCGTTACCCGCCGTGGCACGCTGAAGGCGTTCACATTCCTGTAGGAATTTAGACGATATTATTTACCTACCCGATCATACTTGAGCGCTAAGTGTACTTTTATGGGTATCTGCTCTGTATTTGGCACTCCTAGCTGGAGTTTTGGCCAAATTCTGCCCCTAAGTAGATTCATTGCTGTCATTTGGATTTGTAGTGGCAGAATTTGCCCATTATTGTGTTATTTTAATTCCCTCAAGAATCTAATGAAAATTAAGTGAAAAAATAAGGCTTTCTGTATTCTATTTTCAGAATGATGGATTGATAGAAGGACAGGCGACTTATACTTGCAGGCTGAAGATTTTATGCATATATACATAACAGATATGGAGACAGAATTTTTCCCTTATGGCAATGGAATGGTTTTGATAGTCTTCATTAAAATAGATTTGAAAATACCATTTGTTTTATGTTTAAACCTTAAATTAAATTTTTCAATAATAAAGTATGCTTATTATAACCCAATTCTATCAATCACTGAAATGAACAGCGCATTGGTGGGTTCAAGCAAGTAAATAAATGTGTTATTTTATTGCATGTCAGGAAGGTTTATTGGGTAGAATTCTTCCCTCTGAACTGGTGGGTTAGAGGTTTAAGCATCGTATCAAGGGTTCGCACTAATGCAGAGCGCTGATCCCGCCTCTCAGAGCCCCAGGCAGAGGGTGGCAGTTCAGACAAGGCGTAAAAGCACGTCGCTCTCTGTCCAAGTCAGCGGCCGCGTTCCCCTCGTCCCTTTGCAAAGGTACCGCCCAGAGCCTCGGTCAAGGGACCTCCTCGTAGGTCTGGTATTTTGAGATACGTGTCCTGTGTGGTATTCTGCAAGGATGGTTTCTGAGTTGTCGCTAAAGATCTTCCAGCTGCTGCGTTTGTCTGGGGTCATCGTGACAGTTAAACGGATTGTTTTAGTAAGTGTTTGGAGAGGCCTTGAATAAGAAAATAGTTTTAGATAAAATACAAGGAGGCTGCGTTCTCTGCTGGAAATAGGCATGGGTGTGGGGAGCACCTCGCGCCTCGGTCAGTCCAGGGTTTTGCAACCCTGCAAAGACTTTGCACAATCAAATAATTGCCTACAGAAGGTGTATCACTGCTGTAGGACAGGTATGCGTTCGACTGAACAGCTACGGCCGGGTGAACCTTGTACGCTTCTGAGATGCACGTCAAAGCTTCTAGTCGTGTTGGAGTTGGGCTGCAAACCTCCCTGTCCCGGGCACTCTCCCGTCTCCCGTAGGACCGAGGCAGCTCTAGGAAGGAGGCGCAGCCGCCGTTCTGCTCTTCCCTTCCTGGGGTTGATCATCTGTGCCAGGCACACGGCCTGTCTTCCTGCGCATCTCCGATACGTACGGAGTGCGGAAAATGCCCGGAGAGGGCTGCTGCTGCTGCTGCTGGGTGCAGACGTGGGGTGGGAAACGTCCCTCCGCCGGGTCCTGCGCTCTGACCCTTGCTCTCTGCGCGTGTGGAGTTTTGCCGTCCTTGCCCAGCCCAGCCCAGGCTGCCCGTCCCGGCGGCGCAGGACAGACGGACCCTCGCGCAGAGCGGCTCGGTGCCGGAGAGGTGATACGCTGTGCTTGCTGGCTAGCAGGCAGATGGTGCAGGTCACGGAGCATAACTCTCATTACCTCGTAGCTGAAAGCCTGTGCTCTTGTATTCTGTAATACCGTGGCCTGTAAGTGCTCTGTGAAAGGAGACCCAAATAAATCACATTACAGTAGCCAGGAGAAGAGGTCACAAATCTTTTTGAAGAATAAAAGAGCCACTTCTGGCCACTGCTGAAACATGAACTTCCACATGTATCCTGTTATAAAAAATGAATTCCATGTTGGGAAACTTATCGACATGTTTGGGCATAGCTCATAGACAGGGAGAGCTACTAACACTCCAATGACACCTTCCAGATGTTCTCCCCTCAACAGTTGTCTGCCTTCTCCAGGCTGGCTCGTTGCTCCTCGGACATCCCCGGGCAGGCAGGACGACAGCTGCCGAAGGCCACTGACGGCTTTGCCAGGGGTGGGAATGTGCCGGCAGGTTGAATAAATTCTGAGTATTTTGTGTTATCCATCATTAACAGGGCTAAAATGAAAGGGTAGGGACAGAGTTCAGAGCTCGCCTCTTGTTCAGACGCGGAGAGGACGTTGTCCCCCCCGGCCCCTCCTGGGGAAGCAGACCCTCCCACCCAGGTTTTTGTTGATCACGGGGCGGAGCGTGGACCTCCTCGCACCTGTGTGCGCCCAGGCACCAACAACTGGTGGGGGTGGTGATGGAGCAGATCGTCAGCTACCGTGAGTGTCACGGAGAGCAAAACGACTGTGACAGGTCGAAGTCTGCTGCCGAATCGATGGAAAGCTTGAGAAGGTGAGAGGCGCTCCCCATGAGTTATTTTAGCAATGCAGGTCGGGCCCAGCGTGCAGCGGTTAATTAAAAATCCCCACGGTCTCACAAGGCTGCAAGGCTCCAGCCTGCAGCTTCCAGCCCCTGGTCTCATCAACATCCGAGGCTCTGTCCCGTCGCCAGCCCACCCAGCGGCGTTTTAACGGGGCACCAGTCGCTGCGGTGTTCAGGTACAAGCAGAAAGTTAAATCAATATTTTCCCCGGAAAGACAAAGTAATAGAAAAATCTGTTTCGCCCAATGGCAGGTGAAATCTCTTTGTAAAGATGTTTTGGAGATGAAACGCAAAAAGCAGGGCTTGCATGGGGCTTTTGTTTTTCAGAATTTACAAAAGCACAGCGAGCAGCTACAGCAAAGCCCACAGAAGTGATTGTCTTGACTATGTGAACAGCGCTGAGGAAAAGGGGGTTATCAATTCAAACAAGAAATAAGATAATGTCTCATCTGGGCTGGGAGTTCCTGGCCCTTTCCCCACTTCTTTTGTCCCTTGGGAAGTAAAAGAACTGAGAAGAACAGAAATCAGTTTTTAAGGGAAAAAAAAAAAAAGACAAAATTCAGATTGACTGAAAACCTTTACGATATGAGTAAGACTGACGTTTCTCAAACATGAAATTTTTGGGGTGCAAATGTGACACTCTTCAGGTTACCGTTAATTGTGTTTTGCTGTTTGTGACTTAAGGCTCATGATGTCATTTCATGTTTATCTGTGAATGAACCTGGGTATAACATCATGTGAACATGACAAAGTGTGATGGAATGCCAAAAGCTAAAGAGAAACATATGACTTCTGGGCTGAATACCTGCTTTACCCTAGTATCTAATAAGAAAAAAGCTGGGATGTGGAAACAGGGTGAACAGTAAGAAGAGAAAAAAATTTGGCACGTCTTTTGTTGAAATTCAATCCTCCCCCTCCCTGCTATGCCCAGAAACCATCTGCAAACTTTTCAATCATTTTTTTAGGATACAGTGAATTTTATCATAATTTTGTCAACCGAAACCATATGTGCTTTTCCTATTGACAACATAGAATAACAAAATCATATTTGTTCAGACCACAAGGCAGGTAATAAATAACTGCGGACACACTGCTACAACTCGAGGTTTTTTTTTTAAAAAAAGGTATTGAATATTACCAAAAAATTTAATTTGGGAGGCAAAGTAAACTTCTGAAGAGAAAACCAGCTGAGAGCAAGCTTGTGGCTCAATAACTTTCCCCTTCCTGTTAGACCAATTCTAGCTCGGTGTCCTGAGGCCGTAATAAAATGAGATCTTCCACCGCCCGCCCTCGTCCGTGCGTGGTGGAGCTGCCCACGCAAACTGCAGGTAGCGGCTGCGGCACGTTCCTGCTGCGCTCGGGATCTCGGCGTTATTGCACTCGGCCGCCTGAGCTCCCACTCGCCATCGCTCGGGGAAGTTTGGATCCCGGAGGTGAAAGGAAGAAATGTGGATTGAAGTCATTCAGGACATGTCTCCTCCTAATACAGCAGCCACGAAATATCTTTCCTTACTGATATTAGACAAGCTAATCTTTCAGGTGTGACCAGGTGTTGCCAGAATCATGCAAAAATCTTCACTCCAGAGCATCAGAATAGTCCTGCTCTAGGTAGGCTTTGGTGACAAGCAACATTTGTTCATTCTTTGTCTAAAAATGCAAAAATGTGGAACAGAAGTAGCTGCTTAAAGCACCTGTAGAGAAGTCAGCTTTTTTTTTTTTTTTTGCATAAAGTTAAGCTGACACAAAACTCTTCCCTCTGTGTGTGTGTGTGTGTCTGTGTCTGCGTGGAGAAGAGAAAGCTGTTGCAAACGGCAGCGGGCTCAGCTTCTGATCGTCAAAATTCAAACAGGGAATATGGCACAGACATGTTAATGGGAGCAGGTAACCTCTGAAAGAAGTTACCAAAGAAGCTGTTGAACTCTTTGGCTCAGGTTATCTATAACTTGGACAGGCAACTTTCTTGGTCAGTGCTTTAGCAAGCCTTTGAGCTTAAAGGATGAAAATTATTATAGCGCAGTTACACTGAAGTTTGGGTCAAGTGATTTAAAGAAAAATATCTATGAATCCACATGTAGACAAACATATGGTTTTAATATGATTATATACATTACATTAATAAACATGCAATTGTCATTGTGTTAGCAGTGATAAACAGCCTCAGGTTTTTATCGTAATGCCTCATTAAGATTGACCTGGGCACTTGGTTGCTCTTTGCCTGTATGTTAAAGTGGATGCAGAAGAGCTTGTGCTCCACTGCAAAGGGCTCTGAGATCTGACGACGAAAAGCTACGGCTGAAATCCCCCTTAGAAACGTTCCTGCGTTCTCCTTGCTGTGTTCATTTGAACGCAGTACTTCCTCACTCGCTGTCATTAGCTGGAGCATTGGACTCTGCCATATTGTTTTCATTTTTTTTTTTCTATATAACAATGAGATAAACAGAAAGACATAAACCTTGTTCTGAAGAATCTACTATGAAAACTATGCTTATTTATTACAATAATACCCCAAGACTTCAGCTGGGATGTGGCCTCGGGGTGTTGCATGCTGCATGACCAAGCACGAAGACAGAAGGTTTGCCTCGAAACCTTCTCGGTCTAAATGGCACAAAAGAAGAGGAAGGAAGTCATACAATTTTTCAGCCATGATGATGATAAAATAATTAATAGACTTTGCAGGTCTTTAAAGCCTTCCTGCTAAGTTCTTGATGATCTTAACAAATAATCAATTAAAGCTTTCTGAGATTAGTGAGCATTATTATCCCTGTTTTATGGATTAGGTGACTGAGGTACAAAGGGATTAAATTCTCAGCCCTGCACCTTCTGCCCCGGTCAGCCCTCCTCCTGCCCAAACCCGCCGGCGCCGGCACGCCGCACGAGCGGCTTCTGAGGCACGTTTTAGGATGACACACGGGAGAGAGTTGGAGGGAAATCTGGCTGTTTGGAGCCTGCTCTTTTAGTTAATACCTTCACCTGTTGTAACCTGATTTCTCAGCCGATCTGAGTTTTGAAGCCATGTTTT